GTTTATGGACTTCCGGCTTTGTTTCTGCTTTTGGGCTTTTAGAGAAGATGCTGCTATGAACATTGGTGCACACATTTTTGTGTGGACGTATATTTTCTTTTCTCTTGGGCATATACCTAGGAGTGAAATTCTTTTGTTACTTTTTATGATGAAAACTTTCAAACGGATACAAAAGCAGAGTGGATGATACAGTGACCCCCCCACACCATACTCCACCCCCTGAACCCATCATCCGACTCCAACAGCTAAGTACTCATGACCACCCTTGTTTCACCTACTGCTCTGTTTCAAAGCAAATGCCAGACCTATCATTTCCCCTATAAACAGTCCAGTATTTATCTTGAAAAGATAAGAACTTCTTACAAAATAATTGCAACACCATTAGCACACCGGAAACAGCATCATCCTTAATACCATCAAATACGCCAGCGTTCACCTGTGTCCAGGAGCCTTTTAGTCCCCAGTTGGATTGTTCGCGTGGAGCTCTGAGTCTGAGCAAGGCCCCCACGCTGCATTTGGTTGAAGGGTCCCTTCCAGCTCTTTCCTCTCTGGGCCCCTCCCACCTTCTTCCTCCTTGTTTATTTGTGGAGGAAACCAGGCCGTGCATCCTGGAGAGTTCCTCACAGTCTGGGTTTTGCTGAGCTCATGCCCATGGCCCTTGAATTTCCTGCAAACTTGTGGTTAGATCTAGACAACTGAGCTGATTTTGGTTTGTTTATTAAAAGAAACCTTTAATGCTTCCAGTGAGCTTGGTGGACTGTGGAGCCCAGCCCCTCGGTGGCCCTGGGAGACAGTGGCCGGCCAAGCAGCGCACCCCACCCTCTGCTCCCAGGCCAGCGGGCAGGGGCCTGACCTGGGCCAGGGGAGGGGGGCATGTATTTGATTCCCTGGGCTGCTTGCCCCCACCCCACTGAGGGGCCTGGCCAGCACCGGGTGGGTGCGTGTGTCATGGGCCCATCCTGAGGGCGCTGTGGGCTGCGGGTGATGTCCTGCTGTCTGTCTGCAGGCCCTGCCCGGAGCGTCGCCCGGTTGCCCCGCCGCCACCCTCCAGTGCTGCGCATGGTGCTGGAGGCGCTGCAGGCCGGAGAGCAGCGCCGCGGCACCTCGGTGGCCGCCATCAAGGTTTACATCCTGCAGAAGTACCCGACGGTGGACGTCCTCCGGCTCAAGTACCTGCTGAAGCAGGCCCTGGCCACCGGCATGCGCCGCGGCCTCCTCGTCAGGCCCGCCAACTCCCGGGCCAGGGGGGCCACGGGCAGCTTCAAAGTGAGTCGCTGGGCGGGGGGCAGGGGCCACAGGGTGCGGCGAACTTGGCCCCGGGGCTTGAACTGCAGCCCTGTCTTCCCAGCCTCTGTGTGCTGCTCCCCTGCCAGGAGGCCGCCGCCTCCTGCCTTCTCTTGTTCCTCCTCTGTCTTCACAGAGGCTCCCCCTCCCCGGGGAAGGGTGGAGTGTGTGCCCCATCTGAGCCCCTGTGTGGCCCTGGTCACCCTGCGGCGGCCACCGCTGTCCCTGTGGGGTGTGTTGAGTGATCAGAGACCATCTCGGCTGTGTTTGACTTCTGGGTCCTTGGTGTCCATGGCCCCTTCCTGAAATTCCTTACACGGATGGTGCAGACCCAGCCTTGGGCTCTAGAAGGTCACAGAGTTGGGGCTTGCTCCCCAAGTTCTCTGGCTCCAGACCTGACGTATCCAAAGCAGGGCTAACACCAGCCTGAGTCACCACATCTCCTGCTTCAAGGGGGAGGGCCCCAGAGGCAACCTGTCCAGGGTCACCCGGAGCTAAGGGCAGATCTGGCACAAACTCGAATCCCAGCATTGTGACTGCCAGCTGCCCCCAGGGAACCTTGGGGGCCCAGACATGAGGTCTGTCTTGTCACGACCATGCCCCAGCATGAAGCAGTTCCTCTGACAGTTACCGTGGAACGCCGTGGAACATTCTAAGCCTACGAATTACAACCCCTGTGATAATGGGGTGGCTGAGCACAGGGAGTCCCCACTCCTGGAACTCGGGGGCACTGGTCAGAGCTGGGACACCAGCCATGGCAAGGCCAGGTACACAGGGCGCAGTGGAGGAGAGCAAGAGAGGCGCCGGGGGTGTGTGTGACTGGGAGCCAGTCACGAAAGTGGGCCGGGGGATGGGAGACAGGGAAGGGTCAGGAGGCTGTGTGCTGGGGGTGGGGGTTGTTTCTGGTCTTGGTGGGTCACGGGGAGCCATGAGGGGTCCGGGACGGCAGGGAGCAACGTCATCAGAGCCGGGTTCTAGAAGGGCAGGGACCATCTGTTTGCCAGGGACCCTTGAATCCCCTACTTCTCACATCCCCCCAATGGCCCCATCATTAAGATGGAAGATTGAGGGCGGGGGAAAAAGAAGACTTGGGTGGCTACATGGCTAGTGTCGGGGGGTGGGGGACGGGAGGAAGCTGTGCACTCCCAGCTGTCTGACCTCTAAGTTTTCTATATTCAGCTGCACAGAAGGGAGGCATGGGGACCCGGAGGTGTGGGGCGGGGAGGGGGAGTCAGAGCCATAGTCCATGCGGAGATGGGGGTGGTGGGTCAGAGGAGATTTGTAGATTAGCATCTCAGTGGCCCCAGTCAGGGCTCACACTGTGCACAATTTGCTCCCAGAAGCCTGGCTGTGAGGTTTCCAGGGGCAGGGGTATGGGATGTGGGAGGGAGTGTTCCTGCCCCCCTCCCCCGAATCAGGAGGAGCAACTTCAAGGCCGCCTGCGCAGGGAGGGAGAGGAACTTGGGTGAGTTTTGGAGACTGAGGTCCCCTAGCTCTGGCTGGGAGCCCCCTCCCTCAGGGCGCATGAAAGTGTGGAAGGCATGGCTGGCACTTGGCATTTACGAGGCGGTTTTGCGTCTTCTCCCCAAGCTCGTGGCTGCTCCTTCACCCCCTCCTTTAGAATGGGGTCTTCTCTGAGCCTCACGGAGGGTGCAGGAATGTGAGACACCTGGACCTCTGCTTTCAATCCCACCCTGTCCTCTCCCTCACCAGTTAGTTCCCAACCACAAAAGGAAGTTGCGGACCAGGAAGGCGGCCACCGTAACCACCCCCAGGAGACCTGCTCAAGCCAAGGGAAAGGACCCCAAGAAACCTAGTGGGGCAAAGAAGGTCCCTCCCAACCCAGGGGATGTGAGAAAAGGATCCAGGAAGCCAGGAGAGGAGAGGACAGCTCCCCCCAAACCAGGTGCCACTAAGGAGAAGGTCCCCAGGAAAGACCACCAGACCAAGGACCAAGAGGCAAGACGGGGTAAGGCCAGGACGTCCTCCCAGCAGCCAGACAAGACCGCGCAGGCCCCTCCCAGTGCCAGGGGGCCGGGCGGGAAGTCAAAGGTCAAAGGCAGAGGAAGCCTCCAAGGTAGGGGGGTGAATGGAGTGAGAGAAGGGCATGGGGATGGGGTTTCTGGCAGCCGCTGCACACCAGGTGGGGTGGAGAGACCAGCTCAGGAGGAGTGGGTTTCTAGTCAATGTGCCCTGAGCACTTTTCTGGACTTGGACAGACTGTGAACGCATGGTAGCTCATAGTGGGTGGGTCTAGGGAGGAGGAGCCCGACACACCTCTGAGGGGGATCAGGGGAGGCTTCCTGGAGGAGGTGTCGAAGACAGCAGAACAGCTCGTGCAAAGACCTGGAGGCGTGAAGAAGGTAGAGGAAGTGCAAATCATTCTGTCTATGATGAGGGAGGGGAAGTGGAGGGGAGGCTGCGAAGGGCAGTGGGAGCCTGGACTTGATCTGGAGGAGTAGGAGGAGCCACAGAAAGTCTGAACAGAGGACAGCTAGGGCCCGGGGTGTTTTTAAAAGTGTATTCCGGCCACCGGTGGAAGATGGGCTAAAGGCTAGAGGCTGGTCCCCTTGTGAGGGGCCTTTGGTGTGGGCAGGTAAGGAGCTGTTCACCGTGTTGGGGGCTGGTTATTCACGGTCCAGTTCATCCTCCAACCATCCTGGGAGAGCTGCTGCTACTCCCAGGTTGCAGACTTGGGCACCCAGGCTCAGAGAGGCTAAACAACTTGCCCCAGGTCACACAGCCTGCAAGTGTCCTAGTGGGGACTGGGCCCCGGGCAGGACGGGGGCTGCAGGGGCCTGAAACTTCTGCCTGCCAGCAGCTCTTCCTGAAAGGGGTCCTTCCCCAACCCTGTCCCCTCTTCCAGCAGATGTCGAGGTCCACACGAAAACAAAAGCTGGGAGTCAGAGTTCAAAACCCGCAGCCACCAAGGTAGGTGCCTGGCGACTTCCCTGGCCCAGGTCTCCAGCGTGAACAGCCCAGGGCTCAGGTGTCCCCTGCTCAGCCCAGGATGGGTCGGTTGGCCAGAGATGAGTAACAGTTCACTTTCCTCTCTGGCTCGCCAGGGCCCTGAGGGTCACCACTCACATTTTATAGATAAGAGACTAGGGCTTAGAGAGGTGAGGTCACTTGGTTTAAAGCCACTCAGAGCTGGGATTTTAACCTGAAGTTCATGGGCTCTGGGCTGTGCACCCTGCCGTGCTCAGTCACCTTGCTCCTGGCTTGCTACCTTTTATTATTATTTTTTTTAATGGAGGTACTGAGGATTGAACCCAGGACCAGCACATGCTCTACCACCGAGCTATACCACCCCCACCCCATTCCTGGATTCCTTTCTTACAGGGTGAGAATGGTGTTGCTTCCACAGACAAAAAGAAGATGAGGAACAAGGTCCCTAAAGAGGCCGCTGCCCAGGGGGCTGGGGAGAGGCCAAAAGCCAAGGCCCCTGCTCCTCCCAAGGGCGGTGGGTCCAAGATGGAGCCGGCACGACTGTCCAGGAAGGCAGAGGCCCCCCAAGGTCCCGAGAAGGCCTGGTGTTCCCACCAAGACCGCATCGTCCAAAGTGGCCAGTAAGAAGGCAGAAGGCGAGAGCTAGGGGCGGGGTGGAGAGAGACTGAGATTCTATTTTTTTATTCCTCTAAAAACCTATCACTCTATTTATTTCACAGTAACTTATTTATCAATAAAGTTTTTTTTCCCACAAATTTGTGAGGGAGGAGGCTGAGGTCCAAGGATTGGACCATCCAGGGCTGGAGCCCAAGTAGGCACTCCTGTCCTGGGGGATAGGGATCCAAGGGCACACGGGGCCGTGGAGACACAGGAGAGGTGTTTAAGCCAGCCTGAGATCCGGGACTGCTTCCTGGAGGAGGCAGCTTTTGGTCTTAAAGGATGAGCAGGAATTGCCAGACAGTTGAGGGGAAGGCATTGCAGGCAGAGGGCCTAGCATGTGGGGTGGGGCTGGATGGAGGGGGATTTGTGGCTTTGAGAGGAGCATGGGTCAGGGAGGGGTGACAGGAACCCCTGGGCCTTGGGGGATGGGGCAGGAAGGTGTGGAGGGGCAGACGAGGGAAGGCAGACTTTCTCTTGGGGCAGTGGGGAACCAGGGAGTGTTATAAGCAGGGAAGAGACTGATGTGTGTGTTTAGAAAGAGCCCTGTGGCTGCAGAGAGGGGGATTAGAGGAGCTGAAAGGAATTGGAAATCATTCAGCTAGTTACTGAGCGTGATTGTGGGCCCTGCGCAAATCAGAACAAAGAGGGTGCAAAGGCCCTGGGGTGGGAACACAGAGGACAGGCTCGAGGAGCTGCAGGGAGGACCTTGTGGATAAAGCCCAGTGATGGAAATAGTGGCTGGAGATGAAGTCTGGGTTGCTTTAAAAACATCTGTGACACTCTCCCCTGTGGAGAGGTGGTGTCAGTGTGCGTCCCTGCCCTTTGGATCTGGACTGTGTGGTTGACTGACCAAAAGAGAAAAGTAGAAACATAAAGACAGTTTCTGGGCCCAGGGCTCGGGAGACTGGCAGCTTCTACTTCCTGTGTGTGGGTTTTTGTTTTTGTTGTTTTAATGCTTGCTCAGAGGACTCAGCCCCCATGCTGTGGGGAAGCCCAAGCAGCTGGTGGGGACAAGTTGAGGGCCCTCATCTCTCAGCCCCAGCTGAGCTCCCTGAGCAGCCAGCACCAGTTTGCCTGCATGGGAGTGCACCGTCTTGGCGCCGGATCTTCCAGCCCCGGTGGAGCTGCCCCACTGACCCCACGTGGAACCAGGGCAGCCTTCCCTGCTGGTCCCTGCCCCAATAACAGATGCCGGAGTGACATAAATGTATAGGGCTGTTTGTTATGCAGCAGTGGATGACCACGACATGGGCTGCAGAGTAGACAAGGGCTAGATCTGAGGGACTTGTAGGCCACGGTGGGAATTTGGGTGCCATTTTAATTGTGATGAGAAACAATTAGAGGACAGTGAGCAGCAGAGTGACCACAGGGGGACACGGGCAGCAGCAGGAGCCCGTGAGGAGGCCCTGCGACGGTCCAGGGGAAGTGGGGCTGGTCGTGGAGGGGGTTAGAAGTGGTGGATTCTGGGTAGGTGTTTGAGCAGGGTGAGTGGGATTTGCTGACAGATGGGATAGAAAGGGGTCAGTGATGAGCCCACAATTTGGGGTCCACACAGCTAAATGCCTGCACGTTGATTCAGGAGGCTGCAGAGAGATGGTCCAGACGGCTGAGTCAGGGAGGGCAAGGGGGAAGGACGTGGAGTTGAAGGGCGTCGCAGGCAGACTGGGTGGGACTTGGGAAGGGGGCATTGGATGAGGCACAAAGGGAAACTGAGGCAGCCCAGCGTGGATCATCAGACTGTTCCCTTCCTGCCCCTCCCTCAATGCCACCCTCTCCTTCCCAGTCCCACGCGAGGCTGTCTAGCTGTGCTGATGGCTTCTCTGGAGTGTCTGTGATGTAACTGCCGGCAGGGCTTTGAGGGGCATGGGGAGCAGATGGCTGGGTGCTGGGCTGGCGCGTCTCACGAAGGCGGTCTGGCTGTGGGAGGCCCCCCGGGCAGGCTCTGGGCGGGGTGAGCATCCCTGGGCATCTTGCTTCCACAAGCTGGAGGCAGGCCGGTAGCCCTGACCTGGCAGCATCCAGCACCCATGAGACTCGGGAAAGGCTCCTCCCGGCTTGAGGGAACACACTACGCCAACGTTCCCACCTCCAGTGACCCTGCGACAGAGCCAAGGGATGCCTGCGGCTGAAGGCAAGTTTTCAGGGCCCCAGCCCAGGACTGGGGGTGGTTCACAGAAGTATGGCAGCTTCTGTGCTGAGAAATGACCCTGGAAACTAGAGATCTCCTCCATTTGCAAATGTGTTTTTAAACTTCAAGAAGGAGTCTCATGTTAATCAGGCATTAGAACAGGCGGTGGAATATTTAATGCCATAGAAAGATGTTACTGACGAATTGTCGCATGGGGGAAAAGCCAGTTGCAAAATGGTGAGCACACCCTGATCCTGATTTTTCACTCCTCAGCCCCCAGCCAGGCAGGCACGAGATCTGGAGCGGGGAGTGGCATTCTCTGAGGTATTAAGTTAACCCTGGATGGGTTAGAGGAGTTTTATTTTCTTCTTGCTTTTCCTACTTGCTGACATTTTGGCAGAAAACGTATTCATTCTAGAATCACACCCTCCCCATCTTAAAAAAAAACCATCAAATGTGTCAATAACTTAAATTAGAAAATCTGCTGCTTAATAAAAAGGCATCAGTGATCAGAATAGAAAATTTGAAGAGATAAAGAATCTCTCTCCACCCAGAAGGCACTACAGGAAAAGGCTATTTTTAAAGCTAAAAATTGTTTACTTTTGTCTTCTCACTTTTCTCATTAATGCTAGAACTGGTATTTGGGGGATTTTGTTTAAATTGTATGGATTTTTCTGGCCTAGTTCTTACTCCTGATAAATGTGTGTGATTATTTTTCCTTCATAAAAGGAAAAAACTAACTTAAGCCGCTTCCAATTTGGATAGGGTCTTCTAGTGACCTTTCCCCGGGGTCAGGGGTGAACTGCCGCCCCAGCTCAGGCCGAGAGGCAGCTGGGTGGCTGGGGGGGTCTCTGTGGTATCTGCTGATCCCACATCATGGGCTGTGAGTCTAGGGTTACACCAGCCTGGGGGAAACTGCCTGCTTCCTCATCTGAAAAATGGGGTGATCGATACATGTTTTTCAAGATCCCTGACAGATTCAGGGCAAGGGTGTCAACACCAGCTCTCTTTCCAGGGCTGTAACCTTGGGGCTCCCCACACATTGGAGGCAGCACGGAACAGAGGAATGAGGGGCCTTGCAAGCTGCTCTCTGTCTTCATTTTGCTGTGACCTGGGGGACTCCTCGACTGTGCTAGAGTCAGTTTCTGCAGCTGTGAAATGGGGACACTGTTGTGTTCCTCACGGGCTTGTTACCAAGGTAAGTGAGCAGCAGGGCCCACCCAGGGGAGGGTGGCACCCAGCAACTGTGACACCTTCCGGGAGGCCCTGTGCGTGCCCACAGCCCCGGGAACGGCGGGCAGGGCCAGGCCCGAGGCAAGCAGGCAGCCCGCGTTGCCCCCGAACCTTCTCAGAAGTGGAGTCAGCATCTGCCCACCTCACAGGGCGGGCTGGGCAGGGATCTCGGCCAGCTCCCCTCCCTCCCTCTTGCTGTGCGCGTGGCCATCTCTTGCCTTGGCCACCACAGGACAAAGGCATGGAGCCCACGGCAGGATTTCCCATCAGGCTTTTATTACAAAGAAGGTTCCAGAGCATCCCAGCCTCCCACTCCCGCGCAGCCCCGAGCCTGTCCAGTGCCAGGTGGGTCTGCGCTGGTGGCCGGGTCAGCACAGACGGCGCTTCTGACAGCTCAGAAAGGGCCACTTTCCTCCGAGCGCCGCGGGGGGTCTCTGCCAGGTCTGCCCGTCCCTGGAGCAGTCGTTTCCAGTGTTGCGCTGGGAGCCCCTGGGGACCCCTCCCCGGGTCCTCCGCACGAGCGGCAGCTATTCACAGTTGGCGCGTGGTAAGTTTTTTAATATAAAAGCTTTTTTTAAAAAAAAAAACAAAAAACAAAAAACTGGTGCTATCTTTAGAAACACTTCCAGCAAGATCAAGTAGCCCAGCTACAGCCTTGGTGCTGCGCAGCCTCCCCCCTCGAGGCTAGGATCGCCCAGCGCCTGTCCCCTCGTCCTCCGCCTGCCAGGCTCGTGGGGCGGCCTTGGAGCCTCCCCGCGGGCAATGGGCGCGGCCCTGCCACCAGCGGCAGCTCTAGCAACCAAAATATGACACTGCTTGAACCCGTCCGTCGCAGGTCCTCTCCGGGTGAGGGGAGAT